ACAGTCTTTAGAAGAGACCAGACGTGTAACGACGGTGCTTCCCTTCAGGCTGTAAAAGAAAAAGAAAAAGAAAAAGAAAGTGTGATATGCATCAGTCTTAACACTCTGAGTGTGAAACAAATACAGAAATACAAATAGATAAAAGCCTGGAATCTGAGAGAGGGGCACTTTGTTTTCAGGTGTGGATCTGTGGTTGGGAGGGGTCTGTCTATGTGGTGCTAATGGGCTTCATTTACATCAACAATTCCATGCATGTTTGCATGCATTTTGCTGACACTGCAGTTTGGATGCAGCTGAAGTGACTGTGTGCACATGAATGTCAATGCTGTGGGCTCTGTGAAGTACAGCCAACCTGGGCTTTGTTTTGTTTTTTTTTTGTTTTCCCTCCTGCACCCACACAGACAATAAGTCGTGTTTCCCTGCAGCAGGACAGACGGCCCACAACAGGCTGCAGCTAAAACTGGTAAATGAGACGCGTGTCATGGACGACAGCGACTACGTCAGAGAAACGCGAAACAACAATTCTTTATTTTCATCACACATAAATCAAAACAAAACAAAAGTTGTGCTGCCAATGAGTGCCAAAATAAATCTATAAATAATTTGCACACATACACTGACACCCTCCACCCACACACACACACTCTCCTACAGTGTATACATTTATAGTCAAAATAGTTCTGATTAGATTTAAGATTTAAGTGATACAAAATAAAACTCACAAATATGACAAATGTATGACAAATATGTGTTATAACAAAAACAATGAGAAGAAATACACTTTACAATCTAGGAAACATAGTTTCAAGTTAATAAACAATATATTCAAGTTGGAAGAAGTTGGACTTGGAAACATTTTTTTTCAATTTTTTTTCACCTGGTTTTGCTCTGTTGTCGCTTCAACTAAGCCAGTATGTTGGTAAAGTGTGAGAAAACAAACATTAGGAATATTTTATTCAGTTCATCTTTAAACCCTTGTCATCGATAGTCTCCAGCCACCGCCCAGGCTCCTGCAGGCTCATTTCATTTTTGTATTTTTCTCCTTTTTTTAAATGTATTTATTAACCAGGTTTCCCTGTGCTGCTGCAGTAACATGTTCAAATCTCTGCCGTTGCTATGACTACCAAACCAAATTCACTCTTATGACTCATGGCTGACAACGTGTTCCCATAGTCTGTCTGTCTGAGTGAGAGCCAGTCTGCCTGTTGGTTCACATTCTCCGTTTTCACACATTGACTCTCTCACTTCCCCCTCTCTTCCTTTCTCCTCTCCACTTGTCTCCCCTCCTCCCCTCATCTCACCTCTTCTCTCCCCTCTGCTTAATTTTAGTGGCTGAAAAATATAGCACACCTAGTGGCAACTGTACTTTGTCCTCAACAGTCAGGAGAACACTGGGACTTTTCTCAGGCCTGAGTAGTCAGACTGGTCAAAGGTTGAACTTTAGTTTTATAGAACAGTTTTTTTTTTATTTCTTCTGTCTGGGACTGAGTCTCCACTCAGACAGTGGTCTCACTAGTGTCCACTGGTGTCTGTGAAATCAGGCAGCTTTCCTTTAGCTTCATCTCACTGCACTAACTGTCATGTCACAGGAAAGACACAGTGGACAGAAGGTGGGTCGACTTTCTGTGTCAGGCCAACGAGCAGAGAGCGGTGTGAACGTGTGTGTGGATGAAACGCTGCTTATGCTGGTATTCGCTGGTATTTGCTGTGATACAGGTGTGGTTCTTCCTGCATGTTGTGTACATGAAGCTTTAGTAATGCACACATTGACAGCCACAGTTTGAAGCACTGCCAACAGAAAAGCAACAGAACCAGTCTGAGGGCAGATACATATCTGTGCCTGCAGTGGCTTGTACGTGAATCTGAGGTTTACTACAGACAGACTGACACTGACACGTCAACAATCGCTTCTGTACGTTTGGATTTTAAAAAACATGAACTCGTGTTGATTAACTAGTAATGGGGAAACCACGTCTGAGTAATAATGAGGTAAACCTGGCACCTTGAAGGGTTTGGTGTGGCAAAATGTCTGTTTATGTTTATTTATTCAAAGTCACTGCTTTGGGAAAACGTTTAACTTTTTAGTTCTGGCATTTTCCGAGCCCAATTTAACTTCTGTTTGGATAAAAAAAAGAAGCTAATTTGGCCGACTCAATACATTGTATACATAAATACTTTTTATGGTCCAGAAAAACATGACCTCTTCAGAGAAAGACATCCACGGAGCCAACCCTTTATAAAGCTAATAGCTGTTAGCAGCTAATAGCTACAACTTTACTTCACTTCATTTAAATAACCAAGAAAGTGAAAATTGAACAACAGGCAACTGAAGAAAGTCTTTGAAGAAAACTTTTGTCGGTTCTGAAGCGGAGATATTTCTTTCTTTAACAAAGAATTTCCTCCTTCAACTTAAACCAAGCAAAGAAAGAGATTTCTGGCAATTTCAGCCTCACACAAACTTGTTGTGAGTCTTTTGGCGAACTGCCCCGCTCCTTCCTTTTTCCCTCTTATCTCCTCTTCCCTTTCACCAAATTCCTCTGTTCCCCCCTCCCCCCCCTTCGCCTCCTCCCCCTGCTCCTCCTCCCTCATCACTCTCTGCTGTGGTGAGTGAAGGCAGCAGCTGGCAGTTTAGAGCGGCTGTTACCTGAACTGGAGCGAAGACTCCACCAGTTGGGCGAGTGCACGTCAGAGCTGCCAGTCGGCTCAGAAACTGGCACAAGGCCACAGTGATGAGGGAGGAGGCAGATCTGGCAGCATCCAGGCCGCATCCAAAAACCAACGGACTTATTCCAGCCTCCTCATCACTCTTATTTCAGTATTTTATGAATATTTTTTATCACTTTAAAGTATTGAGGGGCTCAGATGTTCAGTCCAGATGAAGCTATTGGTCGCTTTGTTTTTATAATATTAACCCAAGGTTGTTCCAGATTCAGTGTTTATGCAAAACTAAAGTCTGTTTCCATACAGGAAATCATTACAGATCTGGAGAGAAGGGAAAACATGAACAATTGTCATCAATGTTTCAATAAATATAAAAGTTTGGCCCCAGACTTTGTCTCAGTTTTTAATTTTGGCCCACTGTGAAGTTTGTGAGTTTGACTCCCCTGATCTAGAAGGTTTTTGTTTTTGTGTTTTTTAGAAAAGTTGATTATTTATTTTTAAAAAAAAGAAGCTAATTTGGCCGACTCAATACATTGTATACATAAATACTTTTTATGGTCCAGAAAAACATGACCTCTTCAGAGAAAGACATCCACGGAGCCAACCCTTTATAAAGCTAATAGCTGTTAGCAGCTAATAGCTACAACTTTACTTCACTTCATTTAAATAACCAAGAAAGTGAAAATTGAACAACAGGCAACTGAAGAAAGTCTTTGAAGAAAACTTTTGTCGGTTCTGAAGCGGAGATATTTCTTTCTTTAACAAAGAATTTCCTCCTTCAACTTAAACCAAGCAAAGAAAGAGATTTCTGGCAATTTCAGCCTCACACAAACTTGTTGTGAGTCTTTTGGCGAACTGCCCCGCTCCTTCCTTTTTCCCTCTTATCTCCTCTTCCCTTTCACCATATTCCTCTGTTCCCTCCTCCCCCCCCTTCGCCTCCTCCCCCTGCTCCTCCTCCCTCATCACTCTCTGCTGTGGTGAGTGAAGGCAGCAGCTGGCAGGTTAGAGCGGCTGTTACCTGAACTGGAGCGAAGACTCCACCAGTTGGGCGAGTGCACGTCAGAGCTGCCAGTCGGCTCAGAAACTGGCACAAGGCCACAGTGATGAGGGAGGAGGCAGATCTGGCAGCATCCAGGCCGCATCCAAAAACCAACGGACTTATTCCAGCCTCCTCATCACTCTTATTTCAGTATTTTATGAATATTTTTTATCACTTTAAAGTATTGAGGGGCTCAGATGTTCAGTCCAGATGAAGCTATTGGTCGCTTTGTTTTTATAATATTAACCCAAGGTTGTTCCAGATTCAGTGTTTATGCAAAACTAAAGTCTGTTTCCATACAGGAAATCATTACAGATCTGGAGAGAAGGGAAAACATGAACAATTGTCATCAATGTTTCAATAAATATAAAAGTTTGGCCCCAGACTTTGTCTCAGTTTTTAATTTTGGCCCACTGTGAAGTTTGTGAGTTTGACTCCCCTGATCTAGAAGGTTTTTGTTTTTGTGTTTTTTAGAAAAGTTGATTATTTATTTTTTGTTCTTTATTTATTTATTCAGTCTAATCTTTGCACTGACTTTTCCAGGTTCATTTTTGTACCGACAACAGAAGCCACAGGTTGAGGCTCATTGCCACAGACCCCCACTCACACCGGAGTGATAGGGCGTCTCCTCAGCCTGACGAGATTATTCAAATCCGTTTGAGATTTACATTCGAACAGATCCCTGACCCCTGGGAAGACGAGGTCAAGCTGTGTTAGTCAATAACTTCATCATTTACATTCACAGCACAGTCACATTCAAGTCTCTGTCCTGATTAAAAGGTGACTAATGCCAAAGTCTGCTGGTTATTTATATCACCTGGTCTTGAGCTGAATGAGGGAAAAAAATAGTAAAAAAAAAATTAGACTCAGGATTCAGACGTAATTCTAAGAACTTTAATGATATATTGACATATTTTTAATGGAAATAAACGGTTATGTTTTAAACTTTGAACGGAATTCCCCGTGACCCACAACACTAAACATACATTAATATACGGTCTCATCACTGATGGTTATGGACAAAAACATAACTTTCTGACGGCCTGAATGGAGTAATTTGTTATTAATAAAGTTGAGCTTGATTAGCGTAAAACATACACTGTGTGTTTCTGATTCATCATCTTCACCATCGTTGTCATTGTTAACATCATCATCATCATCATCGCTTGTTTAATTTCATACAAAATGTACATAAAATGTCACATCTTGACATCGGAATCATGACCGGATGATTATGTGTGATACACGCATGTTTCGGGCGGCTCATCCGGCCATACGTGGTGACGTTTTTTGCAAAGAATGCGTGTGATTTGCGGGGTTCGACGGCAGGGAAGGACAACGACGTTTAAAGCCGCCTCCCATTCCGTATAAAACCTCCATCTTCAGCGCCCCTCTTCCTCTTTCTGTTACCTGGCAAGGGGCAGCTGCAGCTTTGGTGAAAAACCTCAGACACCGGTAAGTTCAGATTTGAATTTCGACAGGCTGTATTCAGAGATGTAATTATTAAGAAAAGAGAGCGCCTCGACTTTTTCGTGTTTTTAACATGTATGCAGAAAAGTAGTTTCATAACTCCACACTGACCTGTGGATTGTCTTTGTCGGAAATTAGTTTGGCGAAAGTTACATTGTCACATGTGATATGTTTTTTAAAGATATTAGCCTGTTTATGATTTTTTTAATCTAAGTTGAACTGTTCATATGTGATAAAATTGTTGGAAAAACGGGATGCCTTTGAGGGGTGTAAAAGAACAAAGAAGGGAGCCTGCTCAAAGTAGATCCGAGGATGCTGGAGAATAGCCGGCATTCCTGTCTGCTCTTTTTTTTTTGTCCCCCGTTCTCGCA